GGAGAGATACAAGCTGGACAAGAGTACAGCAGTTTCTCACACAATTCAAGTATTCAACCACTCGGCCACACAACCCAACATTCCCACTTCCAGGTATCTACAAGAAACACACACACACAAACACACACACACACACACACACACACAAATGCAAGGGCTTGGTATGTAGCTCAGTGCAAAGACCTCGGTTCAATTCCTGGTACTGTAAATAAACTAGAAAGAGGAGATAAAAAGGGAAAAGGCATATTTCATTCAAAAAACAGAAGGAAAAAATACGCAAAGAAAATTAAAATAAAGACAGCAATAAAAGTCCACAAAGGAATACTTACTAAAATAAACGGCAGTACTGTAATTAAAAAAAAAAAAAAAAAAGCACACAAAGGCCGGCAAGATGGCTCAGTGGACTATGCGCCTGCTTAGGCAAGTGCAGAGATGGGGGTTCAATCCCTGGCATCATATGCCATACCAGCTCCACCACCAGGCGCACTGAGCCAGCCACCAAGCCTAGGAGTGGTGGTTCATGCCTGTAATCCCAGCACTGGGGAGGCTGAAAATAGGAGGATCACTACGAGTCTAAGCTGTGTAGTGAGATCCTGTACCAAATACATTAAAAAAAAAAAAAAAGTACACAGACTTTTTCATTTTATAAGAAAACTCGATGGCTGAGTCTGTATTTATGATTTCTATCTGTATTTCCAAAGAACTTTGAGTTGGTTTCCTGATGACACACACTTGGACTCCAAGCAGTAACAGGAAGAAACATGGGTCTCCCATGTTTACCATTGCATTCCCACTACCTGACAGATAGTAAAAACTAAATAAAAATTTAAGTTCAAGATATAGGTGAAGGGGGCCGGGGGGACAGCTCAGTGGAATAAGCGCTTCCCTGGCAAGCACAAGGGCCTGAGTTCAATCCCCGGTTCCAAAAAAAAAAAAAAAAAAAAAGATATAGGTGAAATGAAAACCGTAAGAAAAAGAGAAGCTCTGAGAAAAATGGTGATTGTTACTAGGTCACCAAGTGGAGTCCTAGGCCTCACAGTAGCCTCAGTATAGAGAAAAACCTGATGCTGTGAGTCATTAAGACTGTCTGGTCCAGAAGCTATACAAGCACAGCACAAACTGCCAGGATCCCTCAAACCAGGTCTTCTGCATCCTACATTTCAAGTGTGAACCACAGTGTAAGATGTAATGAATTCCATTCAATTACTCTGGTGTTTTTTACTTATTTGTTTGCTTGGCTTTTGCTACTAGGGCTTGAAGTCCAGGTCTGGCACATGTGAAGCACTTGCTCTATCAATGATGAACATGCCCCACCCCTACCACCGGCTTTTGATCACAGGCCACCATTTTTCCTCAGTACAAGTCAAAGAAGGAGCATACAACTATAGATGTTGCTAGTATCCTTCCCTAACTGTCAAAAGTAGGAATATTATACAAAAGAGGTGGAACATAAAATATAAAGGACGTTGACACAGGAGTTTCAAATTCAAAAACAACCATCAGTTTTTGATTACCTGTATTAATGAAAGGAGATTATTAATGCAAATCACTTAAATATGAGGATAACAATTTGCAAATCACCTCCACTGGCTCAATTCAGACTATAAACTTGCTCTCAATTGTGTCAGAGCAGATCTGCAGTGTAAATCACTCAAGAGAGAAGAAAAGTCTGTCTTCAAATGCCAGATAACTTTATTAGAACTTCCTATTTAATTTTAGTAACAGGTTTATTTGTTGGGAAAATTTAGCCAACTGGAAATTTATTTCAATCCAGTAGTTATGTGGTGACTAGCATATTTCAGCACCAGCATAAACCAGATTGCATAAAAATATTAAAAATCATAATTATCTAAAAGTTCTATTGGTCAAATTAACCAGAATTAAACTAATAAAGCCATGGTCAAATACCTCCTAGAATATAAGAATTACATGTCACGTACAGGAAGCATCTGTGTCTGTGCCTCTGTTTATCTGGCTCTGGCTCTGTGTCTGTCTCTCCCCTCTTCCCTTCCCCCGCCTCTCCCCCCCCCCATTGAACCCAGAGCCTTTGCATTAAGCTACATCTTCAGCAGGATCTTAAATTGCCCTAAATGGGCTCGGACTTACTATTGTTCTTCCTCAGCTTCTAAGGATACAAGAATGCTTCCCCACGACCAGCAAGAGCTATTTTTAGAAAGATAATTAAGAGTTGCAGTAATATATTAATGGAAGATGTATAAGCTTTGCTTCTGTAAAATTGCTTCTGTAACACAAGAGAATCACATAATTTCTTAGCTTTCATTCCTTTAAAAAATAGAGATAAGTCTTCAACAGACATTTCTCTACAGACTCTTAAGAAAAAGTCTGCTTGGGCTGGCGAGATAGCTGAATGGACTAAGTGCCTGCCTAGGCAAGCACAGGGCCTGGGTTCAATCCCTGGCACCACATCCCGCACAGCCCTGCCCCACCAGGACCGGGTGTGGTGGCACATGCCTGTAATCCCAGTGCTGGGGAAGCAGCAAACAGGAGGATCACTGAGTCCAAGCCACATGGTAAGACCCTCTACCAAATACATTTTTTTAAAGTCTGTTTATTTCTATCATTTATATTATTTTAAAGAAAACTGATCATCATTTCTGGCTTTTATTCCTAAATCTTCACTTTAAAAATAGAAAAAAGAATCACGAGCATAAATGAGAAGATTATTATTGCTGATCTGATGATGGGCTTATTTGTTCAATAATTTGAATACTGTGATTCCATTTTCCTCAGGAATCTGAAAGAAACAGTAATCTTTCCAGACTAAACTTCCACCAAGCACACTTCAGTACAGCATTTATCATACCCAGCAAAACCATCAGAAGACAACTCCATCTGCTACAACAAAACAGAGAAAGATAAAGGTCTCCAAACACTTAATAGTGCTCTCCCCAAAAAAGGGCCATAAACCTAACACGGCTGAAAGAGAAATGCAATCTGCACTCTGCAGACTTAGACAGGAATTGCTTCAGTACTATCTTTTTCCCTCTTCCTCACCATAAAACCACCCGCCCCTGGTTGTGATGTACAGATCTACATCCCAGGACTTTTAAGAGATTAGGAACCTACAAATATCAATGAAGAAAGGAAACAAGGACAATTTTTCCCACAGAAGCTTCACCAGCATTTAACTTCAGTAATTACATACTAAATGAACACTGAAAAGCAAAAGCTATACCCCACTCCCAGCACAGCCAAGACAAAGTAGGATAACTCAAACTAGACACAACATAATTGTCTCTGCTAAACAAAGGTTAAATACAGAGCACCTTAGGAGGACAAGTGATTGATTCCATCTATCCATTTAGATCATTACCAATGAAAGACATTAAGTAAGGAACCCTGAAAAATCAAAGATCATATCAAAGAATACCATACTTCACATAAGATGTATGTACTAGTAACTGTTCATCCAAGTTATGGTTTGGGAGCCAAACAAAAGAATTTGTTAAATGCCATCTTTGTATCTAATTTAAAGAAGGGCTAAAAGGAAAGAATACTTTTTTAAATCCAGTAGAAAACAGGAATCCTTTATATTAAAATTTGTTAGTAAAATTGTTTAAAATTGAGCAGAAAAAAATAAAATTATACAAATAGAATTAAAAAGCAATTATTCAAAGATCAGATTTTTAAGGAGAAGGTTATTTTTCCTTCAAAAAAGATTGGCACAAAAATTTTAAATACACATTTTTTGGTCTTTTATAATTGCATGAATATTGTGGCATCATATCAAACTTCAAGAACATCAAAACTCAAACTTAAGTAAAAGGAAGACATATCACCTTCATAATTTTATTGCTAATGACAAAAGAAATTCAAAGTTATGACCGGATGTTAGCAGAAGTAACAGAGATAAATAATTTTTTTTAATATTTATTTTTATTTATTACATTTATTTATTGTGTGTGTGTGTGGCCAGCTCAGCCCACCAGGGGGCGGGGCTGGCTGGCATGTGGTGCTGGGGATCGAACCGCGGTCCCTGTGCTTTGCCAAGCTTGTTTCAAGTAGGTGCTTTAGACCACTGAGCCATCTCTCCAGCCCCCAATAATTTTTCTTAGATAATAACATTTTGTTTTTCTAGGCTGGGGAAGAAAAGCCCATGAACATCCACATAGGTCCAAATCTGTACTTCTCAAGAGGAAGAAATATTTTGTTAGAGCACTGTATCTATCACAGGCAGCTCATTCCCACGGTACCCTTTCCAACTACCCATTCCCAAGTTATACCCTCAATCCATACAACATATACTACTGATTAAAATAATTGTCAATAATTGCTTAGGAATTTATTTTGGTGTTCAATTTTATTACAAAGATACTTACTAAGCAATGCTCAGTTCAGAAATAAAAATTATTATTCTGAGTATTTTTTCTTTTAATTTCTAATCTACATATAATTAATAAGTCATAAATTCCTTAGTTTCCTCCCTCAAACAACAAAACCAGAATTCATTTAGGCTCCTTCTTTTTCTTTACCCTTATTATTATAATTTTCCATACTATCTCCCCTTCATGAAAAGTCACATTTTCACATTAGCATGCTTCCAGAAATACCATAATTTACTCTAAAAGTTATAACCTCTAGCTTCAAAAAGCTAACTTAAAGCTCATGCAAGGAAAGCTAGAATTGTTCGTTTTTTTCTAATGAAAATCTTATCATGGGCATTTTGGACAGAAAAAATTACCACCACTGAAGTCAGGCAAAGCTAAACAGACCTGGGTCCTGTCATAATCAGATGGCCCATTAAGGATTCCTTCCAATCAAACAACAGGAAGAGTGAGAAAAGCCACATAAAAATAAAACATGGCTACACTCCAGTTCTCATCACTATCCACTGGGCAATTTTCTAACCAGCCATAATCACTTATTCTTTGGTATTTTATTCTAGCAGGGTCAGGGTCAGAGTATCTTTTTCCAGAATATCTTAAAAGTTGATTTCCAGAAATTCCTTGTTAATTTTTTTCTAACAAGAACCTTGTCTAATGCTCGCTTCAGCAGCACATATACTACAATTGGAGCAATACCAAGAAGACTAGCACGGTCCCTGTGCAAGAACCTCCCTCATCTAGAGTCCTATTCACTCTTCTTTCCAAACTGGTGCCAATCATTTTGTGAACCAGAAAGCCCAGAGTCATGAACCTAGACATCCCAGGCTATTTAAACATTTGAAATCCTTATCTTTTTTTTTTTTTTTTAAATCCTTACTCTTAAGAATGTGTAAAAGAGTTAGCTGCTTGATTTGTTTTCTAAACATGACTAACATTTTATACTTTTGCATACTCAATCTTTGCAAAATTCAGAGAAATTTTTTTTTTTTTTTTTTTTTTTTT